AGCGAGGTACCGCTGGGTGCGTTTAGTGTGTATTTGTGCGGAGAGTCTCCTGTGGCCTGTCGCGGGGCTCCGGTGTCCCCCGGGCCTGGAGTGGTGTAACATCCGGTGAAGTGGTGTGTGTTCAGGTTGTGTAAGTCCTACAAATCTCCCTCTTGTGGGAGGGGGTCTTCTCTTTAGAGAAGACTAGGGAAGACAAAGAAGCGTGCGTGGCCTTACAGATGAGGTTTCACATGCCGAGAAAATGATGTAATCTGGAGATATAGTAGCCAGGTAAAACGTGGCTTACCTACCTCAAGAAAATCAGAAAAGTACAATGAACTGTGGCAAATTGTTACTTAAAAAAACAAACAAACACCAAAAAAAAAAACCCCACAACAAACCAAATTAGTAAAATTGCAACTGTCATTAGGAAATAAAAAGTATTTGGACTGTAAGGTAGCCCAGAGAACATTAAAGCATCAGTCAGTTTTGGGACAGTCTTTTCAAAAGAGTGTGGTTGAAATAAACATGAGCCAATGGTATGATGAGCAAGGTGTTGACATAAATGGGGCAAACCAGAAGAGATGCCGAACTCCAAAAGACTCACTGTAATACTAATGGGACAGTATTATACTGTGTTACATATGTCCCCGTTTGCGCCATTCCTCTAAATCCTTCTTGGCCCCTTTGTTGCTGGTAGCATCCTTTGTTTTGCGTGTGTGCTTGTTTTTTCCCAATGACATGAAGAACATTCCATGGGAGCTGTATTGGTCTGTATGCAATAACATGAGAAGAACTAGCAAAAACAGAAGTAGTGAAGGAGGGTAAATGATTTCTTAATAAGTTGTTCACTTCTGTCAGGACTTGTCTGTTGCACTTTTTTGTATGTGTATAGAAAAAAAAAAAACATTTTCCATTAAGTGTTCATGGGTTAAAATCACTATGGGGAAAGGGAATGCTGATTCTAAAGAGAAGAATAATTTTCTAGGTCAAACTTCTGTGTTTAAAGCATAGGTGGCCTTTTTTTCTGAGACTGTTTTAAATAGAAAGTTAATTATACAATAAAAACAGGATCATTATTTCAAATGCATGATGTGTGCTAAACAAAATAAAATGACTGAAATAGATAACTGACTTCTGTCCCTATTTTTTGTCAGCCTTCTAGCAGTGGCCGAGCTGCAGAGCTCCTCGCCAAAGAACGTGGAACAGTGCCAGGGTTTGTTGGCTTTGGAACATCTCAGAGTGATCTAGGTTATGTTCCTGCAGTTCAAGGAGCAGAGGAAATAGACAGCCTTGTGGATGCTGATTTTCGCATGGTGTTGCGAAAACTTTCTAAAAGGGATATCACAACAAAATTAAAAGTAGGTATATCCTTTGTTCCCCATAACATTTTTTTATCAGAAAACTATTTTTCTTAAGTACAGGAGAGGAATATATCAAGGTAGTACTATGTTCATAGTGGTGAATTTGCTAGAACTGCAGTCCAGGAGGTATCTTAGAGACTTAGAAAATGTCCATCATGCAGTGCTGATGGAGCATTCATAAAATTAACTGTATAGATGCTCAATTGCAAGAAATTAATTGATTTTTGAAAAAGAGAGTTGCAGTGTCTGGTAGAAGCTGGTAAATTACAGAAGATATCTATCTGACTTCATAAATCATGCTCGTAATATCTTGATTTTAGGCTATGCAAGAGTTTGGAACAATGTGCAAGGAAAGAGAAGCGGAAGTTGTTAAAGGTGTTCTTCCTTACTGGCCAAGAATTTACTGTAAAATCTCACTAGTAAGTATTAAAGTATCTAAATTACAAACTTCTCTGGGTATTTCCTATGAAAACCTCTAAGGCAGTCTTTATTGATATATCTAACTTTGTTGGAATTACTAACTTATTCTAGGAAAACATGAAATTGAAGGAAAGTAGTGTTCTTTATTGTGGAAATCTTTCAGTATCACTAGTGGGTGGAATCTTGAACTGTTTATGCTTGGACTGTACTTGTTGAATGAAGATAGCTATTTGATCTAGGACTAATATCTGAACAGACTTAATATTAAAAAAAAAACCAAACCAAAACAAAAAAGAAACCCACAAATAAAACCCCAGACATGAAAAGACCATGCAAAGCCAGCTAATGCATAATTTTCTGATATATTTAATAAATCTCCAAACTGTCTGGACTGGCTACTCTTGGAAATGTGATATTGGTCAAAATGAATCGCTATTTTGATTCATTAGAGCAATTCCTAGTATTTCTTTCAGGAGCCAATAGCATAGGAAGTCATTATGCTGTAAATTTATACACAAATAATGGATAATGATGCACAGTTTATGTGGGCTTATGGTTGTTTTAATCCAAAAAGGGTCTTCAAGGCTTCGTGTTTGTATAGAATGGAAACAGAAACTGTAGTTGAGGATATCAGGAAGAGGTTACCATTTTGAATGTACAACACACTGGGATATTCCCAATCATATTGATGCTACTAAGTTAGAACTCTCCCATTATCTGGGAATACCAGGACTTTCTTGTCACTGTTGTTGCACATTTTCAAATCTTTATAGCCTGCTTCATTGTTAAAATGGCTGAACTGAAAGACAGCCTTTTTTGGTTTTTTGGTTTTTTTTTTGGTCATTACTTCTGCTTTGAAGTACCCAGCATCAGAGGTACATTTCTTAAAAAAATAAAACTTTCTCTTTTTTTTTTTTCTTTAACAGGATCATGATCGCCGTGTTCGAGAAGCAACTCAGCAATCTTTTGAGCAACTGATTCTTAAAGTAAAGAAACACTTAGCTCCTTACTTAAAAAGTATCATGGGATACTGGCTGATTGCTCAGTGTGACACTTACTCCCCTGCTGCTTCTGCTGCAAAAGTAGCTTTTGAGAAAGCTTTTCCTTCAAGCAAACAACCTGAAGCCTTGGCATTCTGTAAAGATGAAATTCTTAATGTGAGTTGATACTTATGTATTTTTTAAGGCCAGCTTTTATTACAAGTTTAAAATTCATCCTGCCCTCATCTGTTCTTCATGGTTAAATTTCTTTCTCTCCTGAAACTTTGCTTTTGCTAATGTGAAGAGAAGACTGAGGCAAAGATGCATCCTCTATTTTTTTGACTTGCGGTTAGAATGACTAGAACCAGAGGAATGAATATTAAGTGAATTTTCTTGTTTTAATTTCTATGTAATGATGATCAGTCATCACATAATGTTGCTGACAGATGGAGTAATGATGCTGGAGTAGTTTAGCTGTAGTGGTAGAGGATTAAAGAACACTGAGCAGTGTTTCAGAGAGCTACTACAAGTTTAGTTCTGACCAAAGTTAATGATCTTCTGCCAGTCGTATATGAAAATCAATTGAATTTAAAAAGGTGGAAGTTTGCATTTCTGTCCCATCATATGCAAACTTAACCATTTTGTTTTGTCTCTGTTTGGCTTCTTTTTACCAGAAGCCTGTGGTCATAGGACTGCAACTTACAAAGTATTAT